AGGTACAGGCACACTGAGGTCATATGCTGCTTGTTTAAGAGATTCTAGGAAAGTTGGAAGCATGAGCCAAGATAGGCCATTCATATTGAAAAGTCACTGCAGCCCAGCTGGTATGGCTCATTGGTTGAGCATCAACCTATGAATCAAGAGGTCACAGTTTGATTCCCAGTCAGGGTGCATGCCCGGGTTGCAGGCTTGATCCCCAGTAGGGGGCATGAAAGAGGCATCCAATCAGTGATTCGCTCTCTTTCTCCCTCCCTCTCTGAAATCAATAAAAATATATTTAAAAAAAAAAAAAGGAAAGAAAAGCCACTGCAAATAGCTTGGATGGGCTGGCAAATTGAGTGGGACACAAGTCTCAGGGAATCACCAGGTCAGGGTCAACTGTGTCAGCCAGGTTGATGGAGACTCAGATATGGCTCTGTGGGGGGAGGGCTCAGAAAAGGAACAATGGCCTCTGCCAGCACTTTTGTCTGGAAGAAAGCTCCCCATCCAGCTCTCGCCCTGATGCCAGACAATTCAGTTCCTCCCCTGTGTCCCTGGTGCCTTTTAAGCTGCTGCCCCAGCACTGGAGCTTAGAGTGAGTGAGTCTGAATAAGTCCATGTGCAGGCCCTTTAAGAGGAACATCTGGGACTCCAGCAGCCCTATGTCTCACTCAGCCTCAATCCTTATTGGTTTTTACAGCCAGAAATTATGGGTACTTGTCTTCCTGGCATTGGAACCCTGGGCTAGGGGGCCTCACTTCTCAATGGGGACCTCTGAAGCTGAGATATCCCTCCTGACTTTTATTCGCTACACGTGAGTGTGGGACTGGCCTGTTCTGCGTCTCTGCCCCTCCAATCTCGGTGTGATTTCTTTAGTTGTAGGACTCCTGTTCAGCTAGATTTCAGGTGGTTCTGAATGATGGTTGTTCTGTAGTTTAGCTGTAATTTTGATGTGATATAGGAGGATGCAAGTACTGTGTTTACCTACATTGCCACCGCAATCAGAACACTTTTTTAAAAATCACTTTATTTTGTTTCCTCATATGTCTGGTTACTTAAAATAGAATATCAGTCATTGTGTGTGAAAAATTGTAGGGATTTTAGTTCTAGGATGTTATCTCCTTTCAGAAGATTTTCTTGTGGTAGTGGCTGATTTAGGATATTTGAAGCTGGTCTTTCATCCTGTGAGTCTCTAGTGTCTTTCCAGTTAACCCTTACTTCTAGGGTATAGTTGGGTTCCTCCAGGGACCTCAACCAAAGCATTGAACATTTATCAGATTCTCCATCCTCGGCAGACCCTGAACTCCCTGTTTTTCCCTTATAGTTTCTTGAGACTTCATCTCAACCTCTCATCCTCTTAGCCACCTCTTACAAAACTGGCAGATTATATCTGCAAAAAAAGAGCCCCCTTGTTCTGAACTTACCTCTCTGGATTTCTGTAATAATTGTGATTTTATGGTACTTATCCCTATTCTTGGCACAGAGCTCCTAAAATCCTTGGAATTTGCTAAAGGATAAGAGCTAAAAAGGTAAAAAGAATGTCTGTTGTTTCCATAACAGGCCTCTTTATTTTTTATTTTTTTAAAAAATATATTTTATTGATTTTTTACAGAGAGGAAGGGAGAGAGATAGAGAGTTAGAAACATCGATCAGCTGCCTCCTGCACATCTCCTACTGGGGATGTGCCCGCAACCCAGGTACATGCCCTTGACCGGAATCGAACCTGGGACCTTTCAGTCCACAAGCCGACGCTCTATCCACTGAGCCAAACCGGTTTCGGCCATAACAAGCCTCTTTAAACATATCTGAGTTTATGTTAATGAGGTGACTTGAAAAACACCTAATAGGGGGGTGGGGGTTCTGGTTGTCAAAGGAACCAATCAATTGGGCTCTTAGAGTTGCACCATTCAACCTCATCCCTTTACCTCTGGAAAGAGGAAGGGCTGGAGGTTGAATTAATCACCACTGTCCAATGATTTGATCAGTCATTGTTCAAAATGAATCCCCCATAAAAATCCTAACTGAAGGGGCTGGGAGAACTGGGTTAGTGAACATGGGGAGGTGCTGGGAGGGTGGCATTCATTCCCAGAGGGTCATGGATGCTCAGTGTAACTTCTACGTACCTTTTCTTATGCATCTTTTCTGTCTGGCTGTTCCTGAGTTGTTTTCTTTTAGAATAATCTGATCATCTACTATGTAATTTTCTTTCCTGAGTTCTGTGAGCCGTTCTAGCAAATTAGCAAACCTGAGGAGTGGGTCATGGAACTCCCAATTTGTAGGCAGTCAGAAGCATAAGTGACCACCTGGACTTGTGATTGGTGTCTTACGTGTGGGGTTGAGCAAGGTCTTGTGGGATTGAGCCCTTGCTTGTGGGATCTGTTCAAATCCCAGGTGGTTAGTGTCAAAACTGAGTTAAATTGCAGGACACCCAATTGGTGTTCTGAGAGTTGGAGAATTGCTATGTGTGAAAAAACACACAGACATCAGAAGTGAGTAAAGAGAAACAGGAGTGTTTTTCTTACAGTTCTTCTATATCCTAGCCCCATGATTCTTCATGATCTTATTAGCTCTTTGATTCCTTTAGAGGACTTTTGTTTCATAGTTTGTCCACCTTTTTTAGTTCTCATGGTACAGCTGATCCCAATTTGGTAATGTCACCTGCCATTACAAAAATAGAACCTCCCTCTGTTGATATTTACTTTATAGTTTTCTTCAGCAAATGTTTGATTGTTTACCAGGCCTTTCCTTAATTTTTCAGTCACTCACTCAAAAACTTTTTTATTTTCTTAAAAGCTTAAGAAAATGTTTAATATGTATTATACATATGTGTTCCATGTTTAGTGAAGATGCATCAACACCCATTCTGCTTTCATGGAACTTAGCCTGATTGGGTAGAAAGAGGCATATGTAGAGAATAATTATGCAAGACATTTAAAAAAAACAACAACTTTAAATGTGTAAGAGAGGAATATAGGTCAAGGTTGCACTGACTTAGAGAGGAAAGATATATTCCTTCCATTTCAAAGCATGGAGTTTTATGTACCATTTTTAGAGATTTTAAATGAACTTTTTATTGAGTCTAAGTCATATACAGTTAGATCTACCCAAATATATACTCCCATGGAACACCACCACAATCAAGATGAGGAACTTTTCCACTACCACCACCACCACCACCACCACCACCCCAAAATGTCCCTGGTCTCCTTCCCGTCAGTTCTCTCTCCCTCCTCTGGCCCCAGTCAACTATTCATTTGCTTTTTGTCACCATCAATTAATGTTTTCTAGAACTTCATATAAATGGAAGCATAAATATATTTTGCTCAAGATGTTGTTGAGTTACATTCGTGTTGGGGTCTATATCCAGAGCCTGTTCTTTAATGTATGCTGTCACAGTTTGTTTCTGTCACTTACATAGGTTTGTTTTTAAACTTGTCAGGTGCACTTAGCTAATAATTTATTTTTTGCATATTGATTACTCATCTTTGACATTCATAAACATTAATGTCTTGAATTCTAAATGTATAAAGCTATAAAAAAAATGATTTTGAAGAGGTAGACCTCTCATTGCCTACATAATTGTGCCAGTAGAGTATGCTGCTGGGACACACGTGTTTGGATCATACATCACATTTTGACCTTTTATTTGTATAAATATGTTCTAATAGACTCCTTCAAATGCTAGGCTTAATAATGATGACAATGGGATAATTTTAAATCTTGTGATAGCTACTGAGACTACAAATGTAGTTTAAATAAAAATAGGCAAAATTATATTGTAGTTTTTATTATTGTCTGTAAGACTATTTGGATTTTAGCTGTTTTCAAATTTTAATACCCTTTTAAAAATAAAAATTTTCATAAAATTTAATATGTATTTCATGCTTTTAAAAATATGACTATGTTATTATGATTTATTGCCACAGCTTATGGTATTCTTTGAAAAGGCAGAGTAATATTTTCCTTTGGAACTGGATTTTTTTTTCAATGTCAATTAACAAACATTATATTCTTTCATAAGGAATGTGTTTTTATATTTTCTAGAATTATAAAATTTCCCTGGCCGACGCTTTCCACTCCTTTTTTTTTTAAATATATTTTATTGATTTTTTACAGAGAGGAAGGGAGAGAGATAGAGAGTTAGAAACATCGATGAGAGAGAAACATCGATCAGCCGCCTCCTGCACATCTCCTACTGGGGATGTGCCCGCAACTCAGGTACATGCCCTTGACCGGAATCGAACCTGGGACCTTTCAGTCCGCAGGCCGACGCTCTATCCTCTGGGCCAAACTGGTTTCGGCTTGTTTGCCTTTTTTAAACAAAACAAATTTGTACATAAAATTTCTTATACAAAGAAAGCTACCGTATCTCATCTAGTACCTCTTGGTATTTAATTCCTAAAGTGTTGATCTAAACTTTAGTAGATACTCCTTTTGTCACTTGATGCAAAATATATGTAAAATTTTCTAATAGAGTTCAGTTTTTAAGAGCCTAGGCTCTGGATTCAGTTACCTGAGTCTGAATTTCTATTCTGCCACTTAGCTGTGAAACTTGGGACAAGTAATTTCATTTCTTTAAAATCAGTTTCTCATTGTAAAATGGGGATGTTAGTCATTCTTGTACAGGTTTAGGAGATAATTTACAGAGTTTTTAACACAATGACTGGACTGAATACATGTATGTTGAATTAATGAATGAATGCCTATTCTCTGTTGTATATAACCTACAACTATATTTGTAAAAATTTGATATTAACGTCAATTTGGAATTCTGCTCTAAATTCTAGGTGACTGGGATAGTTACTTCCTGACCATGGTCATAACTTCATGAATACTGTTAGTGACTGCATGATATACCAATGATAAAAGGCATTCTTGAGATTGTGTACGATTCTATTTTAGTTAGTGCAGATTTGGACACTACTCAAGTATATTGGGCAGGGAGGAGGACCTAGCAAGGATTTTAGTTCTATGTGAATATTCTAGATTCTTTTTTTTTTTAATGTACCATTCAGTCCCTGAACCACAGCTGCTTGATACTGAAGATTGCGACCTCAATGTGGTGAGATTATGTTTTCAAGTTTTCCTCTATGATGAACATGGTAATTTGACAACTACTCTACCTCCTGTTGTGTCTAACCCAATTTATGACAACCGTAAGTACTTTATATTCTTGCGTTTGTAGCCTTAGCTTGTTTTTTTTTAAGGATAGTATAATTTTTTAAAGTATTTTGGTACTTAGAAAAACAGTATGTCTATTACAGGAAAAATTCAAACATTCCTGAAATAAATAACAGGAGGTATTCTCCTATAGTAAATCTCTAATTTCATTCTTCACAGGTAGTCACCGTCCTCAGCTACATATCTCATCCGTTTCTTCTTCATATATGTACAAGTACATTATCTTCATCATTCACACTATATAATTTTGGCAACTTTTTAAAGAAATCATCACTGATCTTTAAAAAAACATTTCCCCCCCTTCTTAGCAATGTATCTCGAATCATTTTTCCTTTCAGGCACCGTATTCTTTTCAGTAGCTGCATATTGCCTTAGATGGCTATATCATAATTTTATTAAATCATTACCCTATTACAAGACATTTGGTTTGTTTCCTTCTCAATTTTTTTCTTTTGGTTCTAACACTTTGTACTGCAGTAAGTATCTGCATGTGTATATCTTGTGCAAGTCTTTAGCATACACTTGCAGAGTAGACTGTTGGCAAATGCTAGATCAAAGGATACTGATATTTATAGTTTTAAAAGATTATGAAATTGCCCTCATATTGTGTGTGTGTGTATGTATGTGTGTGTGTACCTGTCTTGCATGTAGAAAGATAGTGGGACATAGGGCTATAAAGGCAGATCAGATTGTTATCACAGAGAGCTTTGAATGCCAGGGAGAGTTACTGGAATATTGGCCCAGATAATAGGAAGCATGAAAAGGGCATTGCCTTAGGGTTATGGTCATGATTTAAGAAGATTAGTTTGGTGACAGTGTGTAGGAGGATGGAAAGAATCAGAATTCAGAAGCAGGAAGATTTAATTAGAGGACACGTCATTGCCTAGAAAGTCGCTCTAAACCAGTTTAGACAATGTAGTCAGAAAGGAAGGAGTCAGACGTGGATGATTAATGTAGTGTTCTTAATTTACTTATACATTAAAATTTTTTTATCTGTTCTATAGATTGTTTTCCTAAAATTCTCTCCATCAAAAAGGAGTAAAATATTAAGGTAGTGACCCATTAAAAATCTCTTCATATTTAGGTGCTCCTAATACTGCAGAATTAAGGATTTGTCGTGTAAACAAGAACTGTGGAAGTGTCAGAGGAGGAGATGAAATATTTCTGCTCTGTGACAAAGTTCAGAAAGGTATTTATTTGTTTTTTGTTTGTTTGTTTCATGGACTTCGGAATATATTTTAAAATAATAGATAACATTTTACTTTGTTTTCCCACTGATAGTTGTTTGCTTTCCTATTCACTAGATGACATAGAGGTTCGGTTTGCGTTGAATGACTGGGAAGCTAAAGGCATCTTTTCACAAGCTGATGTGCACCGTCAGGTGGCCATTGTTTTCAAGACTCCACCGTATTGCAAAGTGATCACGGAGCCCGTGACAGTGAAGATGCAGTTGCGGAGACCTTCTGACCAGGAAGTTAGTGAGTCGATGGATTTCAGATATCTGCCAGATGAAAAAGGTGTGACTTCTTAGTGGTCATGTTTTATATATTTCTTAAAATTAGGCCTTGTAATAACATTTTTTGGTAAGATACCTTGAAATACAGGTGGTTGTTGTTTTTCATAATTTACATTTCTTTGCCTGGTAGTTTTTTCATTGATTTTTCAACCGATTGATCTGTGTGCTCTTTACACCTCTTTCTTAGGAAAGGAATCTGGAATAATTTCAAAGTATCTAAACTGTTTGTCAAAATTTGTTTTATAGTTGAGGGGGTTTTTATAGATAGCGAACTTGCCAGTCAGAGAGTGGTCTCCATTTTGGTCTTTTTCTGCCTTTATTGCATTAGTTGACGTTGTTGACTTATAGATGTTAGAAGAAAGCGAGATGAATATCAAACTGTTTTTTACTAAGAGAAAAATACCCTTATCACTGGCGTAGGACACACTCTGCAACATCTATTAAGTCCATATTATGTACATTTATTTAAAGCATTTTTTATATAGGGATAAAACTATTTATTTATTAAAGGAGAAGAAGCATGATGATTCATTCACATGCTTTCCTGGTTTCTTTCTAACCAGATACTTATGGCAATAAAGCAAAGAAACAAAAAACAAGTCTACTTTTCCAGAAACTGTGGCAGGATTGTGGTAAGAATGTTTTTGGATTGATTCATATTTAAATAGATTTTGTGGGGGGTTTTTTGTTTTATTCAGTTTTGCACATTTTAAGTGATAATGTTATTTTTCAAATTTACATTTAATAATGGAAAACCTTTATCACAGCAGTTAATTTTCCTGAAAGATCTAGACCTGGTCCCCTAGGATCAACTGGAGAAGGAAGATTCATTAAAAAAGGTATTTTATTCCCTATAGAATATCCCTTGTCATTGGAAAGACCATGGCTTTGCATAATATATTGGAATTCCATTCTTAGAAATAAAACTGCTTCTTTGGTATTTTCCACGCCTACAAATTTTTTCATGTTTTGAATATTGAATGAATTGATCTTGGCTTCCAAAGGTCCTATTGGGAACTGGTTTTGGGGAGTTACTCTTTGAGAAATTACATTTCGTTCATATGGTGGTACTTTTACTAATTACGGTATGTCATGCAAGAAACTGTTTAGATCCAGCCAGTAGCCTGTCTTTATCAGTAGAGTTTTGCTGGGACATAGCCATGCTCATTTGATTACAAATTGTCTGTGGCTCATTTTTCACCACAGTGGCAGAGTTGGTAGTTCCAACAAAGGCTGCAAAGCCTAAAATATTTACTATCTGGCCCTTTATAGAAAAAAAAAAGTTGTCAATTTCTGGTTTCGATCATTCAACCAGGGTTAATTAGAAGTCTTTTGCCCCTTATATTCTTAAACCAGTGCTTCTTCCAGGATTACTATAGATAGCAGTCACAATAATGTGTAAATAAACACAGAATCCTTCATTTTTTTTCTGACTGGGAATTTGTAGTACCTTAGTGTGTTATATCTTAATACATCTTAGATAATTATGTGGACTTTCAATCATCCCCAATGAGTGTTTCCTCCATCGCTTCGTTTTTTCTTAAAAAAGAAGAATATGAAATGAATTTTGGCTATTTAGAGTCCCATTAACTGAAATTCTAATATTCATCTCTCACTTTCCAAAAATATCTTTATGGGGCCTCAGAAGCTAGATATTCAGATTTGACTGGAGTGAAATCTGTGCCAGACTAACTTAGCAATATTATTTATAGGTATTTGTAGAAAGGTAAGTGTCACAGAATTTAGTTTAGGGCTCATGTAATCATTTTAGTGCTATTTAAGTTTTTAATTTGAAATGCTACATCAGTGTCCTTGAAAATTTTCTTTATTGGTGTGTTTGTGCCGTTTTTAGAAGTAGTACTTTTTATAATTTTGTTAATTTCAGTGCTGTAATGATATATTTCCCCCTCCACAGAATCAAACTCGTTTCCTCATGAAATGCTCCGGCCTGCAGGGGTTTCGAGTCAAGCAGAATCTTACTACTCCCCGTCTGTGTCCATCTCAAGTGCCATGCCGCATCATGCCTCAGCCATGCCCCCAATGGTACCTCAGCCTTCTTCACACTGGTCCTCAGAGCCCCACCCCCCCTCGTGCTCAGTCAGTACAAATCCACTGAGTAGTTTTGCAACAGGGACAATTTCCTCTAATTCACAGGGTATCCCAAGATTCTCAGAAATGCCTGTTGTGAATGACTTGCATGCTTCTAATGCTTGTATTTATAACAGTACTAATGACATAGGCAGAATGGAAACATCATCCCTGTCATCAGCTGACTTCTGTGGTTTTTCTGGTGCCAACATGCTGCAGAATTGCCCTGTCAATATATCCAGTAATGACAGCATGAGAGAGACTGACAATTCGGGATTTACGAGAATGAATATGGGAAGCCCTTCATGCAACTCGGTGTTAGACCAAAGGGATTTGAGACAGTTCCATCAGATGTCCTCTTCCAGCATGCCAGCAGGCGCCAGTTCCGGTACCACTGCTTTCGCGTCACAGTCGGATGCATTTGAGGGATCCGACTTCAGTTGTGCAGAGAACAGCATGCTAAACGAGTCAGGGCCTTTGAATGGTACTAATCCAAACGGTCATGGTTTTGCTCAAAGTCAGTATTCAGGTATTGGCACTATGCAGAATGAGCAGTTGAGCGACCAGTATACATTTGAATTTTTTCCGGGTAACTTGTAAGACTTAAACGATGGTTCAAGCTTTAAATCCTTTTAAATGTTAGCAATCATTTTGGTATTACCCACATAGAATCAACATTTTCTATTTCTCCCACCATATGTAGGAGATTTCTTTGATAGGCTCTCTTGGCTCTGGAGCTCCTCCAAGAAGTAGAAGAGAGGGATGAACTCATTTCCCAACTTCGGGAAGAGCTGCAAAAAGCCCCAAGACTTTGCTTCAAGAGTAAACAAATCCACACCACTTGAACTCTAGGCTATGATGTCCCCTGGAATCCTATGTGCACCCCACATAGTTTATTTAAACTAGTAAATATTTCAGTCTAGGTTAGATCATTATTTGACCATTAGAAGTGTATAATGAATCTGTGACATGTTAAATATTCAATAAAATCAATTTTTCAACTAAAAACAAAACAAAACCCACACCTTTGGGTATGGAGAATACAAAGTTGGAAATTGCCAGAAAAGGAACATTCCAAAGTAGACATTTAAAAGGTTTTAGTGTTTCCCCTTTTGAAGCATGTGGCCTGATACTGTGTATGGTGGGAGTTCTGGCTTTAGAGTCCCACCGCGTTTCCACAGAACAGAGCAAAGAGAACATGAGGGCACAGCTCCAGTTTTTACAAACTTTTTAATATTTCTTTTGTTATGTATTAATGTATTCCTAGTTAAATGAATTAACCGATATTTGCTTTTAAGCAAATTTAAGGTAAAACCTGTAATGGCTATGTCATTGGAAAAATTAATTTCTTATTATTTTTTGAGGCCCATGGGCCAAGGTGACCCCTAAGGGGTTTTTCTGAGGCTTTTTGGAGTTTCTTAGATTTATATGTAAATCAAAATTTCTTTAAAATGCTAAGTTGGACAGAAGGGTGCATTTAAGTAATGGGAGGTTCTCTACTTTTTGGATTATTTAAATCCATATCTAAATTGCTTGTGATTTTAGGTTTACACCTATGTTCTTAAGGGGAAGAAATTTCTTTGGACCTCTTCTCTTATGTGTCCTCAGTCACTGTGAGTTCATCCAATTTCATGCTGTCAACTCTGAGATTTTACCCCTAGTTTAGACCTGTCCTCTGAACAGCAGATTTGGAGTTTACCCATATGTGTGTAAAACTGCTTATTTAACATCTATACCTAGAAATCTAATTAAAGATCAAACCCAACACATTCTTGATCTTCCCTCCCAAACGTGCTTCTCTTTTAGTCTTCCCCCATCTCAGTAAATGGCAATGCCATGCCTCTGGTTGCTCAGGTCCAGGTCTATGGACTCATCCTTGATTCTTTTTTCCTTTTATCTCCCATATCCAAATCTGTCAGCAAATCTGGTAGGGCCTACCTTCAGAATACATCCAAAGCTGGCCCCCTCTTTTGACCTCTACCATTAACATCCTGTTCCAAGCAACCATCATCTCTGGCCTGGATTGAAGCTATTTCCTCCAAAAACCCTCTTTATTTCCTTGTGTCCCTACAGTCTGTTCTCCATAAAGTAGCCAGAATGATTATTTTTAAGCCACATCAAATCATCTCATTTAACTGCCCAAAACCATGCGATGGCTCCCCATCTCAGAGTGGACACCAAGGTCCTTAAGGTGAGCAGGCCCTCGCTCCCTCTCCTACCTCATCTACCACCATTTCCCCTGCCATTCAGCTCCAGGTGCTCTGGCCTCAGTGCTCCTCTTCGAGTACACTCCTGCCTTACGGTCTTTGTACTTGTTCTTTCTGCCTGGAATGGTTTTCTCTCGGATACATGCAGGACCACCCTCCTTACACCCTTCTCACTCCACGTTACCTGCTCAAAAAAGCCTTCCTTGACACTATAACACTGTAAGCCTTCCTTACCAGCACATCACGTCCCTTCCTTTATCTTTTCCCATAACCTTATCTAAGCATTCATTTGTTTACTGTTTGTTTTCTTGTACTGGAACATAAGCTCCTTGAGGGAAGAAATACTTGTTTTGTTCGTAGAATACACAGTTTGTAGAACAGTGTCTGCCTCAGATTAAGCGATCAGTAAGCCCTAAGTACTACTGATACAACTCTGTTTTTTGAAATAAAGAATAGCTTTAATTATTAGATGCTCATGGTTTTCATAGTGCCGTTTAGTGTGACATCGGGTTTCTATCAGAATCATGTACATTTAAGACAACAATTAATTAATGGTAATCCAAATAGTTGGAAGGCAAAGTGTAATTGTGATGGGATTGTCATGATGCTAAGTAACCAACTTATTCAAGACCTAGTTTATTTTATAACTAGAGCCTACCATAAATGTTGAGCATATTCCTAGCTAGAAACATGTCATTTTGTTAGAGAATAGTAAGAAGCTAGGAAAATTCCAGGACAAGCAGAATTTGGAAACTCAGAGTTAAACAGCACTTTGCAGCCACCTAGTAAATCCTATCTTCCCTCAGCCAAGGATACTTAAGAGTAAATGGTTTGCACATCTCCTCCCCAACTGGAAGGTAAATAGCTTAAATCACCCTACTCAGGGAGACATAACAGAAATCCAGTTAGTGCCATTTGCCAACCACACCCAAGGACAGGCAATTTAAGAGAATAAATCTTCCCCCTCAGGAAGACAAGAACTGAGGTCTCGTCGTCTCATGGTTAATAATTTCACTAACATAGCATCCAGCCAAACCATAAAATTACTGGAACAATTAAAACTAGTCAATTTGGTCAAAATAGAGAATGTGAGAATGTCATATAAATAAAAATTCTGAGTTGAATGATACTGGGAAATGGTAATGGTAATATAAGGTCAAGATATTTAGGAAGAAAAAGATTAATGATTAAAAAGATTAAAGCTAAGTACCATTAATGTTTCTCAAAAATGATGATTTCAAAATGAAACATTCTTGTTATTATAATTTTAAAAATCATAAGCACATAACATACTTCTGTAGAACATACCAAGAGAAATAAAAACCTGAAGGCATAATTTCTTACCTATTCAAAATATGAACCCAAGATATTTCCAGATAGTGGTTGATAGGTGGTACACTTTTTTAAACATATAGAATCCTCTAGTTGTGTATTAATTAGCATTGATCAGCTTAAACAACTGTTAGAAAACCTAAATGGATTTTTTAAATTAAATAAGCAGTTGACTCGCAGTTTTTTCTGTGTAAGCCAAAGTAAGGTACTGCTACATCTGTGTTGAGATGGATTTTTTATTTTTCATGTGCCATTTACTGGTCATAGGATTTATTTTATGATTTAAAAAGAATTTTATCTCTAAATGTGTTCACACTTTCACTTGTTCTTGTAACCCCCCACTCTTAGCTTCTGAGGAAAAGGTGACCTTATGCCTTTCTAACCTCTACTGATACACTGGATCCCCCCCCCCCCCCCTCCCCCCCCCCCCTTTTCTCTCCAATCCCCCTCCTGTTTCTTTATCCTCACATCAGCATTTAGTGCCTCTTTTTTTGTATAATAAACATAATAAAAGTCTTCTTTAGCTTAAAAGGAAAGGAACAAACCTCTTCTGTACCCTCATGCTCCTTCCCTTCACATCCAGACTCATAACATGCTTTCGGTCTCCATGTCCTCATTCCCGGTCATTCCTTACCCTCTCCTCTCTCACTTTACCTCCTATTTTCTTCTGCTATTCTGTGGAAAGTGACCTGGGACACCCTCCCTTGTTAAAAACCTAGTATCTTTGTATCCATCTACTTACCTTTGTATGTTTGGACTGTCTGTAACCTTCCATCCCCTGGAGCACTCCCTCCTTGGGTACTCCTCCAAAGATTCTGTGGTAGAGAACATTCTTCTCTGAGGTTGGTTTTTTTTCTCTGAGTCTCAACCCTGGGCCCTCAGTTGGTGCTATTTTTCCCCCAGGGTGACCTTGTCAGTGCCCACTCCAGCTTTCTCTCAGGCTATCTGAATGCCTTTAGAACTGGTTCTTCCTTTGGCTACTCTAGTGGCATTACCATTTACCCTGCCATCTAAGATACTTAAACGAAACCTCGAAACCTCACATTCGTCCTTAGTCATCAAGTCCTTTTGAATCTGCCTCCCCCAAATCTCTTGCATTTGTCCCTCAATTGCCGCTGAGTTCTTAGTGTAGGCCTTCTTTTTCCCCAACAAGAATATCTTTTCCATATGCTCCAGTTAAAAATAACACCCCAGCTCTAGCCGGTTTGGCCCAATGGATAGAGCCTTCAGTCCGAGGATTCGATTACAGTCAAGGGCACGTACCTCGCTTGCAGGCTCGATCCCCACCCTGGTTGGGGTGCTTGCAGGAAGCAACCAATGGATGTGTCTCTCTCACATTGATGTTCCTGTCTCCCCCTCCCACTCTCTAAAAAAAAAAATCATTGAAAAAATGCCCTTGGGTGAGGATTAACAAAAAAAATATACCACCTCATCCCCCCCTTATCCCTTATTGTCATTCTTTGAAAAAAAAAAACTCTGGGCATCCATTGCCTTTCATGTATTATATACTCTACCTGTATTGTTCAACCACAACACATCGTCTTTAAGACTAGGCTTCTCTGTGAAACTTGAGCCTGCCCCCCTAGCTGAGGTACAACTGTACATTGCCCCTGTTGGAGAACTCCTCACTGAATTGTAGTCACTTAAGGTTTGTCTCATTCATCTTTGGGATTCTTTCCCTTAGCATAATCCCTGGCATAGTTGGTGCTGAATAAATGGTAGCTATTACTAGAGAGTTAAATTGTTTTATTGCTTAAAGTATTACAAAGCGTATTACATATGTCTCCTTTTTTCCCCCCCGCCCTTGACAATCCCCTGGCCTCCCCTACCCCCCAGTGTCTTATGTCCATTGGTTATGCTTACATGCATGCATACAACTCCTTCGGTAAGGATGGGGTTCTTAAAGGAAAAGGTACTTAACCTGACAAGAAAAGCATTGACGCCAAGATTTTCAAGTTTGTGAAACACTTTACCCTCTGCCTCCCATGTTATTAGCTGTATTAGGTAGAAATTTTACAGTTATTAGGATTGTCTCATATGTCTGACTTGGCCGCTTCTCTCTACTGTATGTGAGGGGTTTAACCTCAGTCCTCCGTGCATTTCCTGGACACCTTACCATTGCACAGACACTGGGGTCTTCATGTAATCAAATCACATGTCACACTTTTTTTTTAAAATATATATTTTATTGATTTTTCACAGAGGGATTGAGAGTTAGAAACATCGATGAGAGAGAAACATCGATCAGCTGCCTCCTGCACACACCCTACTGGGTATGTGCCCGCAACCAAGCCGGAATCGAACCCAGGACCCTTGAGTCCGCAGACCGACGCTTTATCCACTGAGCCAAACCGGCTAGGGCACATGTCACACTTTTTAATGTCTAATGTACAAAGCACCATGTTTGGTTCTGGAAATGATATAGAGGTGAATGAGGCAAAACTCTTTCTCAAAGAGGTCAGTCTTTTTCTTTTGAGGAAAAACATCTACGGTAAAGTGCATAAAGTGGATTAATTTTAAGTGAACAGCTTGAGTATTTACATACATAGACAGTCATTTCCAGCACCCCATAAGTTTCCTTCATGCCCATTGCCAATCTACCTACTCCTCAAAAGCCCTCTTCTGATTTCCATCATCAGCACCTATCTTAATAGCCTTTTAAAGTAGTCACTGGGCCTCTCTACTCAGAACCTTGCTGAACAGACACAGTTGGATTGTCAATTTCTAACCTGATACTTCAGAAAAACTAATTATACTAGTACTCCATGTTAAAGACTTGGAATTGGTGATCTAGGCTGCCTAGTAGCACCAACTAAGTTGTTATAAATTGATTTATTGAGGGATTAAAGAAATGTCCATGGGATGTTTAAATAGCATGGAGAAATGGAAAGGATGGGGAATTTTTAGTCAGACATCTGGGTTTTAATCTTCAGCTCTGCCACTTAAAAGCTGTGTGATATTTAACAAATCACACCTTTTGTGAGCCTGTCTCTTCAGATATAAAATTGCAGGTAATGCCCAGCCTACCTACCTCACAAGGTATGTTGTATTAAGTAAAATAACGCATAAGAAACACTGTAAAGTGTATAGTACGAATCAAATACTGTTAAACCATCCGTATATGTCCTGGGTCCCTGGTTAATCCCTAGTCCAAACGCTCCTTCCAGTGGCAGAGAGAGAAAAACCACCATGGGTTAGATTTCCATAATAGGCATCCTGAAACCGGTTTCTGTTTAGAGTGGCCAGCTGCTGCCCACTTCTGGAGGTCCTTCATTCGACTTTATTCTTTCCAGAGCCATTTCCAATTGTATAGCAAAGGTAGGTCAATTAAAGACTTCCAGTTCTGAAATTCTGTGACTTTCTTCCTAAAAAGAGGTCTCATCATAGCTAATGAAGTTACCACTTTAAGATTCCTTTCCTGTTTTGTTTAAGTATGGGGCAAAATTAGGATGTTTATAAACAATTATTTTTTCTAAATATTTTTTTTCTATCCTAAATGTCTATGACTTTAGGGAAAAGATACCACCTGCTATTAATTACCTGTTTAAAAGGAGTGGAATTTATCATATTCTAGTCATCTTAATCACCTGCTTCTACAACTTCAGTTTACTATTGGACTTGCAAAAATTTAAAGAGTTACAAAAAAGATTCATTAAACACCTCTGTATGAACAATAATTAGTACAAATTGTTGGTGCTTCAACAAATTGAGTTTTCAGAGATATCAGCAGGTAAATAAAATACAAATTGGTAAAAGTATCAAGTGTTTATCTTGCCTATTTTCCTTCTTAAACTTTATTATCTAGTCAAACCATTATAACTTTGTATAACGTGTAGTAAGAATTAGATGAGGTTGGAGTATTTGGGGATCCATATGTGGAATTCAGTCTCAGGAGACTTCATTGATGACACAGTTGAGGTAGCTTTAAGAGGAAATGGAAAGGACACACAACAAGATTTTTAGGAAATGGACATTCTTAAATGCATGGTTCAGACCACATGCACCCTTTAGAAATTATATCTGTTTTAAAAGAATGTACTTACAAATGCTTTTGATTATGAGGAATCCACTATTACATTTTTTACTGTTATAATTTTTACAAGTTCTCAGGCACTGTTGAATTATTTAATTGTTAAGTGTGATGTCAAGATGCAGTTATTTTAAAACAGGAATATTTTCTTTTATTGTACAGAATGTTGTCTTTGTAATATCTTTGTATACAGTAATTTTTTTCTTGGTAATATAATAAATGAAAAAAATTCTAAAACCCTTACTAAAATGTTGTTGCTATTTGACTTTAAAAATATCAGCGAGATGTTCTTTGTATTTATAGCATCTTCCTCACAGAGAAAGCTAGTTTTGGTTGCTTAGAAACAGTAGGCATTTTAATGGAATGCTACAGCTGGAAATACTTGCATATATAACTGTCCTTTGAGATGACAGATAATTTTGTAGAGTACTAAAATGCCTTTTTAAAAGATTTTTATTTTCTGCCTTCCTGACTTATTTCCTGCCTGATTCTCTTCCTTCCTGAATAACTAAGGACAAAAGTCATTCACTCATTCTGAGCAAGGCACAGGTAGGTATTAACCACAGCAGGTGGGATTACAGTGTGCAGAGCCCAAGGAGAACACGTAGGGTAGTGGGGAGGGGAGTCTCAGTGATCTGAAATAGGGATGCAGCCTTAGGAGATCACCTAGGAGGGGGACTGATCTATTAAGTTAATACATTAAAGGTAATGGGAGCCAGATTTCTCACTCTCAGTGAAAGAAATGGCAAACATGGAAAGGGAGAGAAAACTAGAATTAAGGTTGGAATTAGAAATAGTGGTATAATTCATAGTGTTCAATATATGTAAAAAAAAAAATACGTAGAGATAAGCATGACTGTGTGCATGCCACAAAAAGGCTTGGGAGCACCAATGCCACAATAGCAATGAGCAGACCTAGTGCCTGGATTTTGGTTTATAAATACCATTTTCTACTAAAAGGAACTAGTTCCTCTTAGTGAAATAGCCCACACTAGGGCTGGTGCAGATGAAATACAAGATGAGCTTGAGTGTCTTTTTGTATTAAAGCAACAGCATTCAAAAATAATTAAAGAAAATTCTCCAAGAATAATAGGATCATGTTAAAAGGACACAGGACTCAGCTTGGTGGGGCATCCACTGGCCAAATCAGTACTTAGAAATCAAAATAAACATCAATAACAAATTATAGCTCATTGAATAAAACAGGAAGCCATGAATACACAAGAAGGAAAAGTTTTAACTAATATAGAACTTACCCAATGCCAACCAAAAAATATAAATGAGGAGAAAACTAGTTTTGCAAGGCATGTCAGGCCATAAAAACTGTAAACAATGCACTGCCCTGGTGGGGAGAGGGTTATGCTGGCGCCAGGATGTGGCCTGACACCTGGGGGCCTTCCTGCAGGGCCACGAAGTGGGCAGGGGGCATAGGGAATATCTGCAAGACAAAGACCCCAGCAGGATATATATAGACAGGCTCTCTGCATGTTTCTTCACTCCGATTTGGAAGTTATTCCCAGTGTCCACTGGTGTTAATAAACGGGGTCCCTCCCTTTCTCTAGGAAGCGTGCTTGGTATTTGCTCTTCTGTAACATAAAAGGAATTAGAAAATAAGTATTTGACAATCATCTTACCTAATAATAGACAAACATGTAAATTAACCATCCCTCCACTACACGAAGCATGCTTGGTATTTCTTTGCTCTTCTGTAACATAAAAGGAATTAGAAAATGAGTATTTGACAATCATCTTACCTAATAATAGACAAACATGTAAATTAACCATCCCTCCACTACACTCACCAGCCAATCAGGAGAGTATGCAAATTAACCCAACAAAGATGGCGGTTAATTTGCATACATAGGGTCAAAGCGGTGGAGCGAAGACTGAAGGCTCGGCTGGAGCAAAGGCCTGGGTCCCAGGTGCTGAAGCAAAACTGGTGCCGGCAGCCAGGGGAAGGGAAGGCCTATTGCATGAATCTCTTCGTGCAACGGGCCTCTAGTTGTAGTAATAATTGATTCAGTTGAAAATCTTCAATGAATGCTAATACTAATAAGTGAAATTTTGATGTCACTCTGTAAGATATTTATTAATCAAAGGGAAAAAAGAGTGGAAGAGCTTGGCAGATACTACCTTCATTAATTGAAAAAAAGTCTAATCATTGGTAACAGCACAAACCAAAATTGTGTGACACTTTTGCAAGAAGAAGATACTATTTCTTCTGTGGTATTCTTGTTAAAAAGGAACAACCTGAATCTATTAATGAAATACTAGGCAAACACAAATTGAGGAACAATCTATTAAATAACTGGCCTGAAATCTTCAAAGTGTTAAAATAATGAAAGTCAAGGAAAGATGAACTGTTTCTGATTCATGGAGACTAAAGTGTGATCCCTTAACTGTGCAGTATCAAATTAATTCCTGATTTTGACCATTGTATTGTGATGAATGAAGTAGAACAATGTCCTTGTTTATAAGAATCACACACTAATGTAGGGTGATAGGGCATCACTGGCTCAATGATTCAGGAAACAAGTTTTTTTGCACTTTTCTTGCAACTTTCCTGTGAATGTGAAATTGAAAGTATTTTTTCATAATAAAAAAAGGGTACCATTTTAAAAAATCAACTCAGAAAAGCTTGCCTCAAAGTTCATTCTTTTATATGGACTTAAAAATCAAAGAATGAAGCTCCAAAAGAAAATATCTACCTAAGTAAAGAGTTTTTCTCTTTGGAAATGGAAGTTTAACTTCTAAGTTTATTTCATAACTTACAAATGTAACTAGTTATCTTATTTAGGAAATTTTTAATTTTACCAACTTTATTTATTTTTACTTTTCCAGGTATTTAGAGTTGATGTTTTTTTAAAACTAAACCACAGACTATATTTGGGACAAAGAGGTGCTAAGAAGCACAAAAGGTCCTTTCACTAAGTGTTATTTAAAAGACTTAAAGCTGTACGATATCACAAAACTAATTTTAAAATACTTTTATACAGGCAAAAGTGAAACGACAGTATTCTCATTACTTAATGTTTTCAGTTTTGCATAAACAATGACCTACATTAATTTAACATGTCTCATAATTATTATATGAACATTTGAAATAAGTATTTACAACTAAAATTTACACTTTGCTTGAAATTTTGCATAACCTCAGGAATAAAAATTTAAGAAATAGAGGTCTTCTAATTTGTGTTAGCTCAGGAGGTTCTGAATTCTTCCATTTTGCAGATCCACTGAATTCAAAGACAAGCAAAAGACTAGCTCCCCACATTATTTAAATGTCTTTTTGTAGCAAAATTTCCCCAGAAACTGAGAAACATTCACACAAAAGTTCTTACCTTTTTATCAAAAGTTTATTTCTATTATCCCTTTCTCATTTTCTGGCTTATTGAAAATAGTGAAAAAAAATTACTTGCTATTATTCACATAATAAAATTTCATGATAAAACCATTTTCCTGATTTCTGAAGTGAATAATACATCTTGTCAGGCTGGTGTTGCTCAGTCGGTGAGCGTCGAGCTATGAACCAGCAGGTAGAGGTTTAATTCCTGGTCATGTGCTGGGGTTTCGAGCTCTATACCCAGTAAGGGGGGGTTGGGAGGGAGAAGATGTTTCTATCTCTCCCTCTCCCTCTCTGAAATCAATAAAAAAATATTTTAAAACAATTTTTTTAAATAATACATCTTAGTATCTGAATTATATTGAATGGAGAGATAGGAAACTGGGTAATCTAATACTATCCAAGTCACATGTGTTCTGAAGCTCAGAGAGTTGAGTTAGGATGATGGAAATGACACTTAAGTGTAAAATTTTAATGAGACTCCTTTCTGAAAGTTTTCTCTTAATGACTCAACCGTTTTCTCTAGGTTTTGTTTGTTTTTTCCTCTTCGTAGTACTAACTGATGATTAACTTATTAGTAAATGGTAATCATGAGATACTATGAAATATACTTGGGCTATTTTGGGATAAGCTCCTTGAATCTAAATTCTGAAAGTCAATTTTCATGGTTATGTGCATTAAAATGACATCCTCAACTGCCTCCTTCACACAGTATGTGCTCAATAATAAGGTTTATTAGAAAGGGCCTACAGACCAGGAAACTTAAGTTTTGGTCTTAGACATGGAAGTAACTAATAATTTAGATAAATCATTTAACTGCTATCTTTGGTTTTCATATTTATAAAATGGAGATGATAATATCCTGTCTACCTGATAAGGATGTTTGAGGTTAGATAATAATATTGAAGCCCTCTAGAATAGTATCACCTTTTTTTGGCAATCTCAATTTTTCAAAATCTTATCCCTGGCAATGAAGTTATTGAAGGCACTTGTGTCTCCTTCTTTAAAAGATTTATTAAAGTCTCTTACCTCGATTCCTAAGGTTTTACTTTCCCTCTCCAGGAAAGGCATTGACAATTTTAGATTGTCAATGAGTAACTTGAAGTCATTAGCATTTGTGACAAATCACACCAAGAGTACTTCTATTGGTAATAGCTTGCTAGAAGCTTACTTGGAAAAATATTAATGGTCTCAGATTTACATTTGGTATCTTATTATAAGATACTGTGCTGCATAAATATAGACAACTTATCAACATTGTTTTAAAAATTTAGAACATGATTTTAAAGGTGGTAATTCTCTTGTGAAGGGAAGTTTTGCTGAAAGAAATTACAGCTTCTTAAGATTATCAGAGAATGTATCCTGTTTGTGCACCTCTCTAAATGGAAGAACGAATATAGGGAATGGTTTCATAATTCATAGTTGGACTTGTGGGGGTTGGCGAGGGAACAAGAAAAATCATAAGACATCTTTAGAACAATGTAGCACACATTCTACACATACTGTATATGGATCCTGAGATGTTACAAGTTTAAAAATAAATAGATCAACATGATCCAAACAGTTGCCAAGACACCCTTATGGTGGGTAAACAGCCGTTTTACAATGTATGCTGAATGGACATCCACGTTGGGCCACGAAAACCCTACTCCATTTCCAAACTTGAAAGCTAGTCATCCAGAGCAGGGGGCCAGTCAACATCTACAGACTGGAAGGAAGAAAACAAGTCATTAAAATATATTCCTGTTCTAGGAAGCAACTGCAGGTAATGCTGTGTAAGTTAAGACTTCTAATCTATACTAATAAAAGGGTAATATGCTAACTAGACCGGACATCTTCCAGATGACCTTCCGGGCGTCCTTCTGGACAAAGCCATGGTGGAGGGGCTGAGGCAGAGGCGGTTAGGGGCGATCAGGCCAGCAGGGGAGAGCAGTTAGGGGGATCAGGCCGGCAGGGGGGAGCAGTTAGGGGGATCAGGCCAGCAGGCAGGTGAGCAGTTAGGAGCCAGTGGTCCTGGATTGCGAGAGGGATGTCTGACTGCCAGTTTAGGCCCGATCCTGGAGGACATCCCCTGTGGGGTCCCGGATTGGAGAGCGTGCAGGCTGGGCTGAGGGACACCCCATGCCCATGCATGAATTTCGTGCACCAGGCCTCTAGTCTATATATATAAAAGGCTAAGTGAACAACCAACCAGCCAACTGGCCAGTAGCTGTGACACACATTAAGTACCAGGGGGCAGATGTTCAATGCAGGAGCTGTTGAGTGACAGCAACTTTGCAGAGTGCCCTCTTGCACTCTGGGACCCCTCGGGATGTTGGACTGCCGATTTTGGCCCAATCCCCGCAGGCCAGGCCAAGGGGCCCCACCTGCCGGAGGGAACTGCTCACTCCACAGATGCCCTTTGAGCCCCAGCACCGCCCCAGGTGCGGCCGGCCAGGGAGGGACTGCGGGAGATTGGCTCCAGGGCATGTCCAGCCTGTCTCGCCCAGTCCCACCCAGTCCCACTCCGCCAGCCACCTCCTAATTAATTTCCTTTCAATGTGTATGAATCCGTGCACCAGGCCTCTAGTATACTATAACAGAAGAAAATGCATTTGAAGAAAGAGCCAATGAATGCAATTTAACACTCTAAAACCCTCTGGGACCTGGGGTTCTTGGGCCTGCAGTCTGTTGCTAAATTTATTGAGCATTCTGTTACTCAGCTGGTTATTAATTGTGCCTTTTGACTGATAAAAGAGACTAGAGTACATTAAAAAATTTTAATGTTATTTATGGGTAAGTAACAAACAAGTTCAGGTGACAAAACCAATTTTCCCTAAGAAGTTTCAGCCACTTTTATTCTTCTGGTCATTTTCACGTTCCCATATTTCTACTCACCCTGGTCTGGCTCTTCTAAAACAAAACCTTGAGCTTCAAGTCATAATGAAATTATAGTACCAGACTATTCTGTGCCATATTCCAGGCCTTAGAAGTACAAAATTGCACCTTGACTTCACTACCCTAGAGGGCTTAATTTAGGGGAAAGTTTCTTTTTAAAAATCCACTGTCCCTGTGTTGTTTGAGACTTAAACTTTAAAACTTGAACTAATTTGCTAAAAATGATTTTCAAATTAATCTATGAGTCGCTTCATATACCATATGCAGAAAATATTAGAAGACCCCAAATAACAATTGCATATGTGTGTGTGTTCTTTTATAAATCTCAGGGAAATAATTGGATTCTGTTTGAGAATATAGCCATATACCCAGAAAACATCACTTTTCACAAT